AAAAAAAAAAAAAGATAAACATTGACAAGCTTTCAACAATTCCTTATCAGTCGTTATGGCGAGGGATAGGGAGGGCCGGCGTTATAGCATAGTGTAGTAGTTATAAGTAGAAATACAATTATTTGTCTAGTATTAGTTATTTAAGTGATTGTTTTGCTCGTTCCGTCTTTCGCAAATCACCCTTACCATAAGGCGCTGGCTGAAAATCAGCGCTACTGTGGTATCGCGAAAGCAACTGCCACAGAGCATAGCTGAGCCAGCGACCTGTTGGCCTCGCACGGCACGCACTACGACCTAGTATTTAGTTCTCTTTCTTTTTCTTATTGTCTATGTTTTATTTCATGTACCGTTTTGTTTCACTTCTTTCATGCTGTAAGGGCCAATAAAATGTTTTCTTTCTTTTCTTTCTTTCTTTACAAGCTATCAATGCGTTCAGATCGGAACAATCTAAGAACTTTGAGTTGTGTTTAATAATTTGTTATTCCTAAAGTTGCCTTCATTCCTAAAGAATTATAGTTAAAATAATTAGAAACCAGAATACAAATTAACCTCAACCAGGGAAGACCTCTTTGTAATCTGAAGTGGGTACCGAACGAACTTAATCTGAGTCTTGATAATTCCACAAAGCGGTAGATGTTAATCTGTGGAGCGGTGACGCGGGGGTGTGCACTAGGCCGCTCTAATCCGTCAGCCAGGGGCGTATTTACTTTTTTGTTTCGATGACGGGGAGCAAAAACGTCATTATATCCACGACAATGACTATGAGCGTTGGCTGACTGTGAACATACCCTCGCAAGACGGAGGCAATTGGACATAGTGTTTCTTGTAATTTGTTATTTGATGGGTATTAGGCAGTTTTTGTAACAGTAATATGGTACCTATCTAATGCCGCTTCCTATTACTAAATATAAAATTTACTGTAACTGTATATATCTATATCCTAAATGATGTAATGGAAGGTGACTTCAGAAGTATCTCTGAAGTCATTTTTCAACTTGACGACTGTGTATATATCAATACAGGGAGAAAAAAGCAGCCCTTGCTGAGTTTCTTGCCGGTCCTTCTCAGTACAAGGTCTCCCGCCGTAGTTTTGCGAACCGATGGCGTAGCTTCTGACCTTCACAAGTGCTTGTAGCAGCCTAGACTGAATAAATGACTTTTCATTTCATTGCGTGGTGGATTCGACCAGCGGCGAGTAGCCGAGGGCTAGTATTCGGTGCGGGTATACTTTGGCTTGCGCTCACGCAAGCGTAGCAGACATCATACAAGCCCAGGGGGCTATTCGCCTAACGGAAATGCTTTGGAAAACGCCAACGCTTTCGATTTTATTTTGTTATTTTCTGACCGGCTAAGGTTTTCAAATACCTCACGCTTTTTTTTTAATATTGTTATTACCAATGCAAAAGAAAAAAAAAGAGCGCGAGGCATTTGAAAACCTCAGGCGGCTAGAAATAACAAAATAAAATCGTAAGCGTTAGTGTTTTCCTAAGTATTTCCGTTAGGCGAATGGCCCCCAGGATCGGCTGAAGCTGGCCCGCACCCCCTCCAGCCAATCCTGGGCTTCTCCGTTCACAGCGTCACCTGACTAGTCCCATGGACAGCAGTCGGAGCGGATAGCCAGCCGACCTGCTCCCGTACCTACCAGAAAAACAAACAAATCTTTAGTGGCCCTGGGCGCCAGACTATAAAATACGCCCCTGGTACCAACGGGCTAACTCCGAGTCGTCGCCTTTACGACTTCATTATCTTTGAGCCTGTATTCCTCCACAAGAGTCACTTTATGCAGATCCGACTGAAAGATCTGGCTGAGAGTAATTATTTATCCTAGGTAGGCGTCTTTTTGCCATTGTTTCTTTTGGATTTGGGAATGTAATGTACTGGAAATAGGGGTGATGACGGGGTACAGTAAACGTAATTCTATTTAGTCCGTCAGTTAGATGATCAAAAAATAATGGACACGTATTTTTTCTTTGGGCAATCAACCAAAAAATGACAAAGCTATAGCGCGTCAAAGTTTGGGAGTAGGGGCTCGTGACGTCACTTTTGAGTGAATTTTCACTTATAAGTGTACTCAAACGTGACGTCATGCGACTTTTCAAATCAATATATCTCTGCAATGTTTATATTATGTGAAAAAAGAAAAAAATACGTGTCCAGTACTTTTTGATAATCTACCTGGTAAACGAAGAAAAAAAAATTTGTCATCATCCCTATTCAATGAAGATTTGAAATTTCCGCTGATGCTCAAATGAAAATCTAAAATAAATACGTTAACAAGTATTAAGCATTTGTAAGAAGATTGTGGGTCACCTACTATGCGATGAAATAACGCTGCTTTGTAGCCTCAGAAATACTAGAAATAATTCGACACGGCCATCAAGGCCGCGGTAGCATAATGGTCAGTGCATCCGCCCGGATAGCGGGTTCGAGTCCCGTCTGGTGCCTTGGCCAACATGGAGATTTTTTCTAGTAAAATTTTCTTAAATATAAACTTAAAGCAGTTATATGCTTGAAATAAAAACATTTAATTTTCTTAGCCAGCGGCAAGCGTCAAACTAAATACTACCCAATCTTAGGTAACGTCGAAATATGTATAAAATAAAGTGTTTAATTCGCGGGGATTCGATTTAATGATCCACATTAAGAGGGCTCACTTTGACGATGTCTAATTTTATTACTTTTGTCTGTCGACTGTTACTTGGTTTGTCCAGCTTTTTGGGATTTAATTATATTTCACACTTAATTTACTTGTACGACAAGAATTTTCTGTATTAAAATTTTCATTAGATATAAAAAGTTTAATTTAATCTAGCAGTTTAATCGACGATATTTAAAATGAGATGGAGGAGCTCGATGGCGCAAGTGTTTAGCGCGTTCGGCTGCGATCGTTGAATTTAAGCAACTTTCGCAGTGGTCGGTCATTGGATGGGTGACCAAAAATCTTCTATCTAGAGTTCCTCCGTGCTTCAGAAGGCACGTTAAGCCGTTGGTCCCGACTGCATCTGCAGTCGTTAGCACCCGCCAATCCGCACTGGGCGCGTGGTGGGTCATGGCCCAATCTCCCTATTCCATCCATAGGGAAGGCCTGTGCCCCAGCAGCGGGGACATTAATAGGCTGATGATGGTTAAAAACCGATAAGTTAAATGTTTCAAATAATTTATTTAGTTATATTATGAAACTTATTTTTCCCTTTATTCTAAATGAAAATGAAATCTGTCGCTAAAAACCAGAATCTTTTTAGAAATTTTATTAACAATACGCTGATTGCCAAAGCATTGCCAAAGCCCCGAAAGTATCTACACTTTTTTTTAATAAAAGAAATAAAAACAAAGTACTGTAGAATCATTTTTTGTGTTTTATTAAAACAGTAATTTGGGGTTTTCGAAGTAAGAGTTTCGGGGTCAACATGGAACCCTTAATATAGTTTGGTCATATCTGTCCGCCTGTCTGTCCATAGGTTATCTCAGGACTACAAATAGTAAAAACTGTAAAATTATTTAAATATTCACGTCTAGATTTTTAATGTGAAACTTTAGCACCGTTGTGATTTGAAACTCGATGAAACGAAAAAGCGACACAAGGTATCTGTAATTATATATATTTTTTTAAAGCATGTAATTGCTTGATGTTTAAATCTAAAGAAAATATAACTAGAAAAAATTCCACGCGGACCAGGCAGCAGACGGGACTCGAGCCCGCACCCTTCGCAATCCGGGCGAATGCACTGACCAATTATGCTACCGCGGCCCTCACGGACCGCATCGAAATTATTCTAGCCATTCTTAAGCTGCAAGGCAGCGCCATCTCTTCTCATTGTAGGTAACCCACAATGTGAAATGAATACTTTTACAAGTATTAAACATTTGAAAGAAGAAATAGCAATTATAATTATAATATTTTTTTTGAAAGCATGTAACTGCTTGATATTTAAATCGAAAGAAAACATAACTCAGGTATAAATATAAGTCAGTGCATTCGCCCGGATTGCGAAGGGTGCGGGTTCGATTCCCGTCTGCTGCCTGGTCCGCGTGGAATTTTTTCTAGTTATATTTTCTTTAGATTTAAAGGTATCTGTAATTTTAAATTAGCTCATAGTTGCTGAATGATAGAATGTGTTCATTTTAGTTGCTTCATATTGCGCATGCCGTGACAACCTATAATTAAAGCGACACTAATCCTAGATTTAAACTGCTTCTGTAGCTACTAACACTGACGCTGTGTTATGCTTTGTTGGTTGTCTTAAATAAATAAATAAAAAAACTGCGAGATACAGCCGAATGGTACCGGTCTTGGGGTCAACACCAAATGATCGGTGGTTCCATCCTGAGCTCGGTTATATTTTTATTGTTTTTTTTTTCTTTTATAAGCTGTCATTTATTTTTCGAAACACATAAAAGTATATAATATTTAATTTTTCCCTGTATTTTACAGTACCTAGTCATAAAGGAGTTTTACGTGTCCCCATTTTTGTAGGTTTTACTTCTATCGCATGTGAACAACACATGTTCGTTTTTTTAATAGAAATAAGTAGCTCATTTAAAGTTTTATGCTTCCCCTGAGGTAGTGGCACCAATAAATAAATAATAAATAAATAAATATTTCCAACACTCACGCCAATTAGCCTAGCCCCAAAGTAAGCACTATAAGGCTTGTGTTATGGAATACTAGGGTAACGGATAGAATACATATACTGTATATATATAAGTATATTTTATTTATAGAAATATATATTAAAAATCCATGACTGGAGTACAAATGCTCGTATTCATCACACAAACCACTCGGCCACGGAGGTAGTCAATGACCGACAAGAACCAATGATGGGCATTGTTTTCCGTGTTCAATAAATATAAGAGTCGGTAACTGATCACTTAATATGGTGATACCGAGCGTCTATAGCTGCCACTACCTAATTATATTTTGTGACTAAAGGCAGTGAAGTTATTATTAATTTATTTACTTTATTCATTAAAATAATAATTATGTTATTCTTTTTCAGAGAATACTTGCCACTGTCGGTACAAGAATTTGTACGTACCGGAAGTCAAACGTCCACAGCCGCCGCGGTATGACGATGAGGGCCCTCCAATCGAGATCGGTAAGGAAACGTGTGCTTTGATTATATATACGCCTTAATACCGTATTAACTGCACGGAAAGGCCCAAAATATATCTACTACATATAATAATCATAATCATAATCAAAATCATTTATTCAGTTTAGCCTGTTACAAACACATATGAATGTCTAGAAGCTACGCCATCGGTTCGTAAATCTACGGCGGGAGACCTTGTACTGAGAAGAACCGGCAAGAAACTCAGCAAGGGCTGTTTTTTCTCCCTGTTTTATCATTTACAGAGTCGTCAAGTTGAAAAATGACATCAGAGATGATTCATGCAGTCACCTTTCATTACATAATGTGAAATTATACATTAACTAGCAAACCAGTGAACCAAATGTTCACCAAAACCTGATTTAAAAATAAAAAAAATGTATTTTATTAATTGAGAACTTCGGAGATTTTGTGTGGTTTCGTTTGAAATTCGTGATTTCTCGAAAACCGGAAGTGCTACGTTACTCAAACCCGGTTTGTAGTCTTATCAGACTATTCTTAACTTATAACTTAAATATTCTCTTTATCTATCTCTTACGGTTTGACCGCTGAAACAGCACCACAGACGGACGGACTTGTCTAATAGATAAGAGATTGTTTGATGTGTCACACAGTATAAATACAAACAGACTTATTTATAATAGGTGTAATTAAACATTTACATCTCAAATATCAAAGTAGTTAGGGCAGACTCATCTCCGCTGGCAGCACCCGTTCACGAGTATGACGCATGAACCAGCCATCGCTTCGCTCAACCATATTTTAGGGAACGTAACGACCCGCCTCACACGATATATGGTAGATATTCAGAAGCTCGATGGCGCAAGTGATTAGTGCGTTCGGCTGCGATCGTTAAAAACAATCAACTTTCGCAGTGGTCGGACATTAGATGGGCGACTAAAAATTTACTATCTCGAGCTCCTTCATGCTTCAGAAGGCACGTAAAGCTGTTAGTACCGGCTGCATCTGTAGTCTTTAGTAACCACCAATTCGCATTGGTCACACGTGGTGGGACATTGCCCAATTTCCTCATTCCATCCATAGGGAAAGCCTGTACTCCAGCAGTGGGGACATTAATAGGCTGATGATGATGATGAATGCTCTCTTATCCACTAACGAAGTACTCATTTGGGACAGCATAATTATAAACGCCCAGAGGAAATCAAGTCTCTAAAAGCCTGAAACGTTTTGAGCTTCTTGGAAACTGTCGGGCTAAAACAGATACTTTAACTTGGTGGCGAGTCACAAAAGATCTTATAGGTCGCATTGACTACAGTTTCATTATGACTGCATAGCTCCAAAAATCTAAAATAATAATATGTTCATGCAAATCGAGCACATCCCTAATTATTACCGACGCGAACGCATTTTTTTAGCCTAGCGCCGGAAACGGAGACATGTTAGTTAGTTTCCGATTAGACTCGGTCTGTCTCTCTGGTTCAGTGACGACGCTTAGAGCGAACGCTGTATTTTTTATTGTATCGAAGCGATAACATTTATGTGGTAAAGACGCGAAGCTGCGTATCTATATTACTGTGGTTCAGTATATAATTAACAGTGTATGAGTTACTGTGTTATCACAAACGAACAATTATATTGATTGAAGCAAACACGTGTTTCTCTTCAACCACCGGTAGCCATCCCTATTCAGGCAAGGCCACCACCAAAACGAACCCGCACAGCACGATATCAACGGCGGCACGACGCGACGGATCGAGTGAAAGAAAGAAAGAAAGAAAGAAATAATTTTATTTGAGACAACATAATAAAATAAAACAATTAAATTTAGTCTCAAAACGGTCCCAACTCAGCATAGTGCTAATGTTGCCATTAGCGCTGATCTTCCGTTGGAACCGGTTTGGTGTCGCACGAATCAATAACAACAAGAACAATAAATAACATAAAAAAGAAAATAGAAAACAACAGGAATAAAAACAAAAATAAAACATGCTTGGCTGAATGTATCAAAATATCTCTGCCACTTAAGTAAGTGTAGGTGTAAGTAGCTACTTAAAAAGAGAGAAGAGAAAAAAAAATCATTTCTCTCTCCCTCACCCCACACGCTATGGCAAAAGACATTTTGCCATAGCGTGTGGGGTTATTTTAAGCAAATTCTGTCTGCATTAACAAACTAAAACAAAAAAAGAAAAGCACTAAATCTAAAGGGTGGATACTGAAAATACAATTTATGATATTATATGAAAACAAATCTCGGACATACACGCAAGTGAGTTACGCAAATAAAGCGAACGACCTCACCGGACTCGCAACATAATAAAACACCCAACTTGACCACGCAGGTCGTCTGTGCCCAAAAGAATTGGTGTTTGAGATGATACAGTGACTTGTGAGGTCTATTTACTCAGCTATTAAGACTGTCACTTGGAATCTCTAGAAATGCAAACTTTAAAACAAAATGTGATTTGAGGTTTCTCATTAGATGTCTTTAACTGAATGAGAAAGTTCGCGAAGGCCATGCATACAATTAAAAGTTGCCTTTTAACCAGTATTTTTTCATAATTTATGGTAATGGATGGATGGAACAAAAATTAAAAGTATTCTTCACGAGTTTGCGAGGGTGGCGTTGCGAAACTTCGTCAAATTAAACAGTACTAGAGAGTGTTTTGCGTTTTAATTAAAATTTTATTTCAACATTAAGTTGCTGGGTTTCTACATCGAAGGAGAGTTATTATTAGAAATTTTCTTGTTGCCACTGTTCTGCTAGCAGATATTTCTTTGGCAATGTTTCAACAGTGAAACTTATATATTTTTTAAAGTAATGTTAATGGTCTTGAGTGAGGTGAAGGCTACATCCTCAGACTGCTACTCAAATATCTTTTATGCCCTATCTCCCTTGAATTGTTTCTATGTCAAATTGTTCGATCTCAATAAATTATGAAGAATAATTAACGTTATGATTTTATTTATTTTAAGCATTTAACTGCTAGATGTTTAAATCTAAAGAAAAGTTTACTAGAAAAAAATCCACGCGGACCAGGCAGCGGACGGGACTCGAACCCGCATCCTTCGCTATCCGGGCGAATGCACTGACCATTATGCTACCACAGCCCTATTAGCCGCGTCGAAATTTTCCTAGCCTTAAGCTGCAAGGCAGCGCCATCTCTTCGCATTGTAGATAACCCTCGTATGAAAAAAATACTGTGCACACACATCAAAAAAAAAAATTCAAAATTCAATATCGTTTATTCAGTCTAGGCTGTTACAAGCACTTGTGAATGTCGAAAAGCTACGCCATCGGTTCGCAAATCTACGGCGGGAGACCTTGTACTGAGAAGAACCGGCAAGAAACTCAGCAAGGGCTGTTTTTTTCTCCCTGTATTATATACAGAGTCGTCAATTTGAAAAATGAGTTCAATATGAGATAACCCATTAAGTCACTTTCCATTACAAATGTAAATGATAAAACAATTATGACTATAAAATAAAAAATATAAAAAACAGATTTAAAAATGAAAAAAGTTTAGGAATGCCGTGTCCCACTGTTTAGGCATAAAAACAAATGTACCATTAAAGTTAAATACAACGATTAATAGTACCCAATGTAGCAAGAGCAGACTCATCTCCGCTGGCAGCACACATCTGAATTGAAACTCCTTTTCTTTGATAACCTAGCATATTGGTGCAGCGCACACATCACTCATATATATGTGTATAGTGTCGCGTGAACTCGCGTGTGATGCTCGTAACATTTCCTTCCCGAGTTCATCATCATCATCAGCCTATTAATGTCCCCACTGCTGGGGCACAGGCCTTCCCTATAGATGGAATAGGGAGATTGGGCCATGACTCACCACGCGGGCCCAGTCCGGATTGGTGGGTGCTAACGACTGCAGATGCAGCCGGGACCAACGGCTTAACGTGCCTTCCGAAGCACGGAGGAGCTCGAGATAGTAATTTCATGGTCACCCATCCAATGACCGACCACTGCGAATGTTGCTTAAGTTCAACGATCGCAGCCGAACGCGCTAACCACTTGCGCCATCGAGCTCATCGAGCTCATCATTCGCCGAGTTACCCTCCAACTTTCATGCTGGTCGGGAAGAGCTGCGCACGCATCCCATACACACATACACATATATTTATTTATAGTCGTGTGACGTTCGTGACGCATTTCCGTTTCGTCTTTTCCATAGGATTTTTCCATTTACACCGAAAGGAAGTTTTACGTTTTAATATTCTCATAATACCGTTACGTTAAAAAATAATAATAATAAATTTATTGATTTGCCCAACATTTTTACATAGTTAAATCATAACAATCGTTTTCTTAATTCCTAATAGCAGCGACAATACTACCTACTTAACTAAAAATACAATAAAAAAGCACTTACAATACAATAGTACCTAACCTAGGCCGAGCATGTATAATAGGTATAAGACAAGAATATACGGTAACTTATAAAAAAAAAACGCACTATATTATCTAGTCTCTCACATACATAAAAACACACACGCACATCTCTAATCTAATAGACAAGTTCGTCCGCCCGTCCGTGGTGCTGTTTCAGCGCCCAACCGTAAGAGATAATTAAAGAGAATGTTTAGGTTATAAGTTAAGAATAGTCTGATAAGACTACAAACCGGATTTGAGTAACGTAGCACTTCCGGTTTTCGAGAAATCACGTGATTTCTATTTCAAACGAAACCACACAAAATCTCCGAAGTTCTCAATTAATTAAATACATTTTTTTTTTGTGAACATTTGGTTCACTGGTTTGCTAGTATTGCTATATTCCATAATTATATTGAAAATTAGCTACTAATATGTAGAAATTAAGTCTTTTAAATAGTTTATGGTTTGTTACTTTAAATAGTTAATGTATGATATATAATATGTGACGCGTTTTTTGTCGCGTTCAGGTGTCAAATTCTTTGGAGTTTGACAGTTGGACGCGATATGACACGTGATACAATGTGAATTGTGGTGCTCATGCTGCGGGGGCGGGATCAGTTGGAACTTGTCTATTTTTCTAAATAATTTTAATGTCAATAATTGTTATGGTAAGTTCAATGTAAAAATTGACGAAAGAGCGAGTATCCCCTAATACAAGTATAATACTTAAAAGGGAATACTCAACAACATGTTTATATGGAACTTGTAAGCTTTAAAGAATTTTTTCATTTTTTTTCTTTTTCATTTTCATTTCATTTTCATAAGAACCTTTCATTTTGACTTGTGGCTGCGACATCTATATGCCCCACATATGTATATATGTATATACGATGGAGGAAATCATTACTCACTATCCTCAAGAGATGGCGTTACCTGCATTGCGATCTTAATAGTATGGAAGCCTACATCGCGCAAATGAAATTCGGAGGCTAACTCTTCATATATACGATGCCCGACTAACATCAGTCGGGCCGCGGCCCCCGAGCTACCATCACCCAGCTCGGAGGAAGATCTTCCCCTTTGGCCTTCCTACAGACTAAATTAATAATGAAAGTAAAAAAAATATCTATAATTAAAAGGATTCTGCAAGAATTTCTGGTGAATTTTTTGTTCAATATGGACCAAATCACTTTAGAAAGCACAAAATTGCTACAAAGTGCAGCCACCGTGATACCTCAAACGTAAATTGGACCAAATTGATGAAAGTGAAGTCGTCAACATGATTAATGAGGTTACCTACAAGCCATGAGCTATTTGAACCATCAATTAGGGAGCGTTTTCAAACAATCGCGAGCTTCTTTTGATACGTACAAATTGGCAATATTGGTTTTCTGTCATCGTAATGAATAACTACAGGCCCGTATCTGTTTTAAGGAAGCAGGGCATTGGAATTATTGAAGTTATACTTCTTTAGGCGCGTTATGAAAAAATGATGAGAGTGAAATTTTAAGATGCGCGCGCATCACTGTAACACAAAAAATTAACAGCATGAAGTTGGTCGCTTTAGCGAACAACTTCATGCTGTTACTTTTGTGTTTACCGCACATTAAGAAAATCTACCAACAAAATAGAAATAGAATCCCTATTTAGTGGGTGCTAACGACTGCATTGTGAAGGCCTATCAAAAGTATTTATTAATCTGGAACAACGGAACCAAAGCGCGATTCAGGAGACTACAGCGCCATCTCTTGACCACTGGTGTAGTAGAACCAAAAACCACATCTTTATTTTTTGTAATAAAGTAACAGTTATAGGTATTCATATTTATAATATTTATCCACATGTTTCTAGTTTGTATATTCGGAATACGTGTTTGAGTTTCATACAAGTGCAAATCACATATGTTCTAATAATATATATTCAGTAGCGATTTTAATTGAATATTTTGATTATTTATTTATTTTTTCAAATTAAAACTGAACTTTATTGACTGTGTCCTTTTCCAGACTTTTTATTAATTTATTGTAATTAATTATTTGCATGCAATTAAAAACTAATTTTAAACGATGTCAAAGAAGGATAACTTCTCACGCGCCTACATAAGTACACGCACCCATTTTTTTTATTTTATACTAACTGTGCCCCGCGGTGTAACCCGGGTTTATGACGACCTCCGTGGCCGAGTGGTTTGTACGCCCGGTTCATGGTGTCGCCAACTCGAGAGGTCTCGGGTTCGAGTCCCGGTAGGGGCAAATGTTTTTGTGATGAATACGAGCATTCGTACTCCAGTCATGGATGTTTAATATGTTTTTCTATATAAATATACTTATATATGTACAGTGTATGTATTCTATCCGTTACCCTAGCATCCCATAACACAAGCCTTACAGTGCTTACTTTGGGGCTAGGTTAATTGGTGTGGGTGTTGGAAATATTTATTTATTTATTTATTAGGAATTTTGTCCTGCAGTAAAATGTAGCCTGTTTGTTAATCCAGGGTGTCAGCTAACTCCATGCCAAATTTTATTAAAATCGCTCCAGCCGTTTAGACGTGAAGAAGTAACAAACATACACACTCACAAACTTTCGCCTTTATCCTTTTTAATATAAGTGTGATTATGATTTCACAATAACCAGTGATTGCCGCCTAATAACTACAATTCCAGCTCGTTGGTTCTTTTGTCAAAGAAGCAATCTGCCTTTTCAGGTCTGCATCGTCAGAATTCATTCATTCTGACGATGCAGACCTGAAAAGGCTGCGAAACGTCAATAAATAAATAAAGTTTCGTGCATTAACCCGTAAAAACTAGTTTTATTTAATGAGTGATGTGCGTGAAAACCTAAGAAACAAATAAGCATTATCTGTTTATCAAAGGCGTGGCTGTGTGTTATGAATTTATAAATCCTTTAGTGTCGAATAAATAAATAAATGTTATTAAAATAATCTGATGCTTTTTCTCACTCAATCTTAGTAAATAAGTTTTTTTTTTTACAACACTCACACCAATTAGCCTAGCCCCAAAGTAAGCACTATAAGGCTTGTGTTATGGGATACTAGGGTAACGGATAGAATACATATACTTTACATATATAAGTATATTTATATAGAAATACATATTAAACATCCATGACTAGAGTACAAATGCTCGTGTTCATCACACAAACATCTGCCCCCACCGGGATTCGAACCCGGGACCTCTCGAGTCAGCGACGCCATGAAAACCGGCGTACTAACCGTCTGCGTTAGGCTAGTAAAAAACCACATTCGCAGATGCGTTGTTCTCGTTGCGAACCTACCCACATTTAAAATAATAAATAATTAACCACGATTAAGTGATAACGGAACAGTAACAAACGCACAATTTTCGCATTTACAATATTAACAGTATAGTACGATTTCGACAAAATTGTATGGTTGTACAGAGTACCTTTATCCCACCGTATGTACCTTACTTACCTGAGGAGCTCGATGGCCCAAGTGGTTAGCGCGTTCGGCTGCGATCGTTGAAGTTAAGCAACTTTCGCAGTGGTCGGTCATTGGATGGGTGACCAAAAATTTACTATCTCGAGCCCCTCCGTGCTTCGGAAGGCACGTTAAGCCGTTGGTCCCGGCTGCATCTGCAATCGTTAGCACCCATCAATCCGCACTAGGCCCGCGTGGTGGGTCATGGGCCAATCTCCCTATTCCATCCATAGGGAAGGCCTGTGCTCCAGCAGTGGGGACATTAATAGGCTGATGATGATGATGATGTACCTTACAAGTTGACATTGTTGCAGTAACCGAGCCGCCGCCGCTGACTCGCATATGCGCATGCGACGACTGTACCAAGCCTACGTTACCGGACCGTCAGGAGCCAATCTGCTTGCAGTTCCAACGGCTGCCACTCAAAACTGGTGCTTAATATAAAATCACTACATAGTATAAAACAAAGTCGCTTTCTCTGTCCCTATGTCCCTTTGTATGCTTAAATCTTTGTAACTACGCAACGGATTTTGATGCGGTTTTTTTTAATAGATAGAGTGATTCAAGAGGAAGGTTTATTTGTATAATACATGCATAATATAGTAGAGAAACACTGATAATTTTAGAGGTTTTTAATATAAGATCGTAAATAAACACATTTTTTTGCGCTTACATTGCAAACACTGACTGAACCCAACGAGACAGATCAAAATAATGTACTACAGTATTGTACACCTTAAAAAGGTCTACAAAAAAGTCCGCGATGGTATATGCCTATCTCTTTGGTATAACCCACAATAACCATTTTTTAATTACTTATTACGAGAAAATAATGGCTTATTTACGAACAAGCGATTTTAAGCAATACAGCATTAATCCTTATCCAATTAAGTACCTTAAATACATTGTGCGTGTAATATAGATCAATATAACCCTCTACAGCATGTAATTTAAATGAATATTTTCGAAGATATTACAGATTTAAAATGCAGGAACATACCGGTTTGAGCGGTACTGGCCGGGGGGGCGGCGGCGGCGCGTGTCTTTAGTAATTAGGTATTTAAAGAAAGTCATTGTGTTTAATAGAAATCTGAGAACAAAAATATAATCTAAACTACAGCTCTACACAAAAGCGAAGCGAGTCCGGGCCACTAGTAAATAAATAAAATAAGCCTTTATTGCTGTACAACATTAGAATAATACATAACATGTAGTTCCCTTCATTGCTATTTACTTTGTCTATACTATTGCTTAACTAAATTTTTACTATATACAATATCTAAACTATGTATTACTATTACTAAACGTATACTTGTCGGCGGATGGCGTCTCACTCGCTCCTTCGAAACGTTAAACCGACAACAAATGTCATCAGTCAAGAGTACCATTGCCTTGTGAAACGTCAAGTAATGACAGTGACAGCTGTCATCATTTGGGAGTGGTCTATGCTAAGGGTAGTATATAAGGGGCTATGCGTCATTGGAAGGGGCATTCGGCATTCGGCATTCAGACGTGAGCCGCGATAGTGAACGGACGTTAGCACAGAACTCTCCGCGCTTCACAAAGCAATCCGTTTGTACCTTGGCAATCATAACTGATTTTGTAAAGTAATAAGAAGATTCAAATTAAACGTTAGCTTGGTCACTAGACTACAGTTTTATTTTCGGGAAATATCATTGAATAACCAAGATGGCGGATCAAGAAAAACCACGTGGCCAACCGCCTATATCCCGCTCGCCCATCCGACATACTATCTATTTTATTATTTCACAGCTTGTCCTTCGACAAAGGCCTCCTCTAAAGCTTTCCATTTTAATTGGTCTTTTGCTAGACGTATCCATTCCAGAATTCCAGAAATTCCAGAACCTACCGTCTTTTTTATGTCGTCTTCCCAACGTTTACTTTGTCTGCATTTGCTTCTTTTGCTATCACGTGGGTACCATTATGTGTGACTAGTTTTGTCCACTTCTCTTTTTCTTCTCTTAACATGTGTCCTGTCCATCTCCATTTCATGCATTTGTACACAGTATGTATATTTTTGAATTTAGTTCTACTCTTTATAGTCTGTATTCTCACCTTGTCTCTTCTTCTGGCTCCAACTACGCATCTCTCCATTCCATTTTGGCATACTATGACTTTTTTGAGTTGCTATTCGGTTAGTGCCAATGTTTGGCATGTATACGATAAACATGAACACATGTATCAAATATTTTGACGTGACAACGTCTTAAATTAGGTTGCGGCTGGGAGTCACTTATGAAAAAGTGTAACGCTCGGTAACGTTACGATGAGTCTCTCGTGTTAAGTTTAAGTTTACATGTACAATGTTTTAGTAAACAAAATATATTTCTATAGTTAAAATTTGTGCAATTCTTATTTTCATTCAATTCCTTGTTCCTATTGTGCAATTTAATTATATTCATATCAATAAATATTCTACCGAGAAAAAGACGTTGTCACGTAAAATCTTCGCCCGTAAAACCGACTTTACAGGCAACCATTTTTTCTTTTCTCTTTGATAGGCATGTAATTGTTCTTCATTACCTCGTTTAGAGACCCGAACCTTTTCCAGCTATTTGCAATTCTCCTATCTATTTCCTTCTGCATTGTGCTTAGTAACCTGTTTTAATTATTTGTTCATTTTTATGTTGAACAAGTGTCGAAATACTGAAAAAAAACCAGCTAGTTAGTAAACAATATATTGTTTTAAACTTTCATGATCACTAACATTATAGTAATATAAGTTATTTACGGGATTGTTACCATGTACCTTGTTTTTAGCGAGTTTCCGATATTTCGGCACTGTTGCAAGCGCCATGATCACGAAGTAACTGAAGTAATTGCGGGTAGGCTGTTATTGGCAGACATATCGGTCTACCCTCCGACGAAGTCTTTTATTGCGTTCGATACCCGTACCACTGTTCACATTCTCACTATTCACTCGAAACTGTTCTCGACACACAACACTTACAGTATCGGATCGCGACACGACACTTTTTTGATTATTTCCGGTTTTACACATACGAACCACAGGATTCCAGACACTCGACAATTTAAATTCGTCCTCACGATTGAAATTTTTATGTTTTGTTATTTCAATCGCTTCCCTGACCAATCTTGGTATGTAGTGGCGTTCTGTCGAGATAATCTGTGGGTTATGAAACTCAATCCAGTGGTTAGAACCAGAATCTATCAAATGTTCCGCGATGGCTGATTTCTGCGTATCGTTGTTCTTGATTGCTTTTATGTGTTCCCTCATTCGGCATGATACTGTTCGCTTTGTTTGGCCAATGTACGAACTGCCACAGCTGCAATCGATCTTATAGACACCAGGTTTCTCCAAGGGGAAGTTGTCTTTAGGAGACCGTAGGTATTGTGAAACCTTTCGCGCAGGAGTGAAGACAGTGTTTAGTGAGTACTTATTCAGTATGTTTGAGATCTTGTCAGTCACTCCTTTGACGTATGGTAAATAAACAGGTTGTCTGTCTACTCTGTGTCTCTGGTGTCTTAGTTTGTCTTAGGTTCGTATGTGTAAAACCGGAAATAATCAAAAAAGTGTCGTGTCGCGATCCGATACTGTAAGTGTTGTGTGTCGAGTACAGTTTCGAGTGAATAGTGAGAATGTGAACAGTGGTACGGGTATCGAACGCAATAAAAGACTTCGTCGGAGGGTAGACCGATATGTCTGCCAATAACAGCCTACCCGCAATTACTTCAGTTACTCCGTGATCATGGCGCTTGCAACAGTGCCGAAATATCGGAAACTCGCTAAAAACAAGGTACATGGTAACAATCCCGTAAATAACTTATATTACTATAATAGTTAGTAAACAATTTTAATACCTCGGGATTCAAACATGTTTTGAGGGAGGGGATTATAATATGATCGAACCATACATTTTGTAGTACAAATATTCTCTCCGTTAATGTTTGTTTCTATTCAAATCTATCTAAATCTCACAGTTACTAATAAATTTTCGAGAAAATGTCAAATCGACCTATTCTATCCCTGCTACCCCTGTCGTAGCTGTACCAATTACAAGGCTCCACAAAATCAATAATTCATTTTAAGGTATTTGTGTACGCTTCTACAATAAAATCCCTAGCAATATTCGGAAATCAAGCGTCATTTAATTTAAAACTACCATTAAAAGAGTTCTTATTAATAAAGCTTATTATAAAGTGTCTGATTATATTTCAGACAAAAATGCTTAAGTTTAAATTGTTACAAACGTTACGGCTGACTTTTTCTATAATTATGATGAAGATGAAATTATTTTGTATTGACACCGTAACAATATAATATTTTTTATTTAACGCTGTGATTTCTTTAGGCCAGTTTTTCTTCACAGCTAAAAAATGTCCTTAACTGGAGGTAGGGGAAAAAATGAACGGTTCAAAAGAGTTGTATTTTACGTCCAAATTCCAATTTGAATAAAGATATTTTGACTTTTGATCGCTCCCGGCGCTCTTCTTGAGTAACAAAACCATAGACAAGGAAACCTGCGCAGTACAAATTTTACATAAAGTAACGTCTACTATGCAAGTTTATTTGTCTATGGTTTTGCTCAAAAGTTTCCCGCCACCTATAAGCTACCGGAGGAGCTCGATGGCGCAAGTGATTAGCGCGTTCGGCTGCGATCGTTGAAGTTAAGCAACTTTCGCAGTGGTCGGTCATTGGATGGGTGACCAAAAATTTACTATCTCGAGCTCCGTGCTTCGGAAGGCACGCTAAGCTGCATCTACAGTCGTTAGCACCCACCAATCCGCACTGGGCCCGCGTGGTGGGTCATGGCCTAATCTCCCTATTCCATCCATGGGGAAGGCCTGTGCCCCAGCAGTGGGGGCATTAATAGGCTGATGATGATGATGATGATTAGCTACCACGACGATGATACGAATTCATACATCATGAGTTTATCATCCATCTTTCATGCTCCTCGGGAAGAGGTGCACACGCATCCCACACACATTTATAGTACAGTCAATCTGTCGAAAAAAAAATCGTTTCAGTGAAAAAAAAACCTAAAGGGTAAGTCTTGTTTTTTCTGTTGCCAAATGACGTCAGTAAGCCACCTTGGCGATGGGCATGTTCAACTCGTAGGCGTTTTTTGAAAAACTCAAAAAAACCCTCAAAAAATTTTTGAAACGCTTTTTTCTTGTTTTGTATGCATTTTAGAAACTTTTTTCGACCATAATTGTAGAGGGCGTTGAGTACTACAATTTATGTCATTGTTGCAATCTCGTACAAAAAAAAGCGCATTGTAGGTGGCGCTAAAGTCTCAAAAAAAGTGTTTTTTCACCCTGAAAATATCATTTTAATGGAAAACTTTAAAGGGAAAAGTTGTTCCGTACATAATTACCAACAACTTTTGTATAAACATTTTTTTTTTAAATTACTTACCGTTTTCAAGTTACAGTGCAATACAGCGCTACGTATACAACACAGTGAGTGCCAACACAGTGGGCCAATTCGGCCATCTGCTCTATTCACAAAGTACATTAGTAAATTATTACAATCATGAAAAAAAATAAAAAAAAGTAAAACGTACATTGAAATGTGCACTGCAAATGTGTACTTGAACTGCCCAAAACCGCTCTATTGGATTTTTCATACCTGCGCAATTTATAACTTGAAAACGGTAAGTAATACAAAAAAATTGTTTATACAAAAGTTGTTGGTAATTATGTACGGAACAACTTTTCCCTTTAAAGTTTTCCATTAAAATGATATTTTCAGGGTGAAAAAGTGAAAAAACACTTTTTTTGAGACTTTACCGCCACCTACAATGCGTATTTTTTGTTGTACGAGATTGCAACAATAACATAAATTGTAGTACTCAACGCTCTCTACAATTTTGGTCGAAAAAAAAATTCTAAAATACATACAAAACAAGAAAAATGCGTTTCAAAAAATTTTAGAGGGTTTTTTTTGAGTTTTTCAAAAAACGCCTACGAGTTGAACATGCCCATCGCCAAGGTGGCTTACTGACGTCATTTGGCAACAGAAAAAACAAGACTTACCCTTTAGGTTTTTTTCACCACTCAACCTACAGATTGACTGTACTATTTAAACATAGTCGTGTTACGCCCGTAAAACTCGTTTCATTTTTTCCATAGGAGTTTGCCTGTGTCCATTTACCTCCCGTTCGAAAAGAAGTTCTACTTCCGATATCTCATCCCCACGCCGCCATATTCGAGAAACTTTTGCCCACTTCTAAGTAGGTTATGTGAAATATTTTTTAATGTTTCAGTTGTTTAAGTGTTTTTTATGTTGCCTTTAGTTCGTACCCGCCGCCTGGTCTTACGGAACGAGTCGGTCATCACAGCGCGATGGCAGACCGCAGTCAGGAATTTTCCCAGGAAGAGAAACAGAACTCTAGCTTCAGGTAATATTATACAAGTAGTGACTTTAATAAGCAATATTAATATAAAAATACAATTAAGCTCAACAAAATAATACTAAAATCAGAAAGTTTTCCGATAAATTAAATTACGGAAACATGTCATTTAAATTGGAAATAAACAATCAATTTCCAACATAATAATAATACATTACATAAATAAAATGTCAAAATTACAATTTGCCACATTTTATGACAGTATTTCATCACAATTAAAAGAAATGTCGAATCAGTTGCTAAATAATTTATAATTAACGTGTTTTAATTATCAAATAAAGTAATGAAATGAAATTATAAATACAGAGAGTCACATGATCGTCAAGTACTTGACGCTTCAAAAAACGTCTATAGAGTTAAACTTCATGTCATAATCTTCGTAGGATCTCGAAATTAATGTATTTCCCGCGTGCTTAGTTCCAGTCAGAGGGACATAAAATAGGTTTGTGGATCGTAAAACTATCCGGTTTGGTGGGCATCTCAAACTGATAGATTGTAACTAGTGCTTTTAGAGAATCTTTGTCTTTCTCCAAAATCTTTTAGAGAATCTTTGTCTTTCTCCAAGCGACGTTCCATGGAAGATTTGGACGCAAATAGCTGATTGGTCTTTGCGAGCGAATCTATATTTGAGATATTTTTGGAACTTTCCGTTTATTTTCTCAATTGCCTCCATATGCAATTTATAAAACGAATTCCGGACTATCGATGCATAGATACTCTGAAATAGATCGTAGATAACAATTATACAACAGTACTGAGGGAGAGCAGCATTTAAAATCTTTACCGACTTTTAAAACATAGCCAACAATTTAATACGCCCATGCAGTTTAATACAAATGTGAGTTATAATTTTTTTTTTTTTTATTATTTTTAAAGCTTAAGAATAGCTAGAAGGAATTTCGACGCGGTCCGTGAGGGCCGCGGTAGCATAATTGGTCAGTGCATTCGCCCGGATAGCGAGGGGTGCGGGTTCGAGTCCCGTCTGCTGCCTGGTCCGCGTGGAATTTTTTCTAGTTATATTTTCTTTAGATACAAATGTGAGTGTTATTTTTGCTTTTCTTCATAGTGTTAATCCCTTGTCCCGCCCTGTGCCCCAGTTACCTTATTTAGTACATTATTATTTAAATCAGAATTAGGTATATGTTTTAGTTTTAGATTTTCGGAGTAACAATATAGTATTACACTTTTGGGGTACAAAGTTATATAAATTTTGAATAGTAAATACACAATTGGAGATGATCAGCCTTTAGTAAATCATAAGATGTCTGATTATTTATTTAAAAAAAAAACATGTCATCAGCATATATAAGATTGTCAGAATGTTAAAGGATAGAACCTACGTCATTAATAAAAATAAGGAATTATTTTAAAAAGTTGACAACTTTAGATTAAGAGATCCTCACAGGTTGAAATTGAATGATGCTCCAAGGTCTGATAATAATGGAAAAAGTTGTCTTTGGATGTGTGTTAGAATTTATAATGAGGAATTTTATTATATATAAAAATGCTTAATATATATTTTTGTAAACACAAACTGTATGTGGTTAAATGAGCACAATTTCTTAAACAAAAACTATGACATTTCTTCATTCAATTATTTCTATTTGATTCTATTTGTAATGCTCCAATTCTATTATATCCAAGACTATTTGACATATTTGAAATGTTTTTTTTTTATTTTATCTTATTGTTGGCATTTTATTTGACTTTAATTTAAATTATATTTGTATGCTACACTTACATGGTAAAACATGTGCACATTGTTAATTTTTACCAACTCATAATATCGTGTTTTAAAGCAAATATATTATCATAATTAATAATAAATAAAATAAAAAGAGAAGGTCCACGGTGAGAACCCTGAGTAACGCTTAATGCTTAGAGCACAACAGTTAAACAAAAACCTTTAATGATCACCACGAATACCGATTTCACTAATTTTTTTTTCAAGCTGATTCACCAATAACAAAGGAGTTGCCTGTTGTTTCTATTTCTTGTTACTAGATTAATATACCTTAATGAGAAATATACCGGACATCAATGTTGATTAAAGTCGTGAATGAATTTGTAGAATTATAAACTGATCCAAAATTTTTACATTATTTTCCAAAATATGGTGAAATTTAACATACAATCTCGCTTTAGACAGTCCCTATTAGTCGACCTTATTGGACGATGGTACCAGTTGATGTGCCTATGATTGGCTATCGACGGCCAACTCGAAGCAAATGAGTAGTATTTAACGGGACTAATGTGAAGCAACTCTTCTTTACTTTGTTTTTCACCTCCCTATTTTCTTGTATACCTACTTTTATCTTTACTATCCTTCTTTGCTTCCTCTTTCAGACTTCTGCCCGTGCCCCAGGCTGCATCAAATAGCAGCCTCGAGCACGGACAGTATATTATTAAACACGTTGTTTGAATAAGAATAACCTAGTTAAAGAGACATATTGTAAATAATTGAATAAAAATATTATGCAAAAAAAAACATACAACCTCGGAGTATAAAATGGTTTTCGACTGTATTTCTCATTCCCGTTTTGATCGCCCAGATTATTCAGCGCGCTTTCCACTAGGTACTGGATATTTGTAGCGTTCTTTTTGAAGGTCTACAGTCTCCATATCCTGTCGCCTGCGGGCGAGTTGGTGCGCGTGACGAATGAGTACGTAGGTGGATAACGTATGAACCACAGGTCTAGATATAAGTAGACGCGGCATGTGATTTAAATTGTTTGAAAACTGAACATAACATATTTTAAGTTCTCATGGTAACAAATTCATTATCATCATATTTTTTTTATAGATAGTTTCGACAAATGACTCCAACACACCTGATGTTAAGTGAAGGTGAAGTCCAGACGCGAAGATAGCTGATACAGCAGTTCTACCTGCCACACCAGCCATCCTCACCCTGCCGGCCTGCATGTTGCTTCTTCACGCCTGTTTTAAAGGATCCCAGGTTGTAAGAGGAAGGGAACACGTGAGCGGGCAGAGCATTCCATTTACGGATAGTACGGCAAAGAAATAATAATAATCAGCATATTAATGGCCATATTGTTGGGATACAGGACTTTCTTATAGATGGAATAGGGAAATTGGGCCGTTAAATGCCACGCCCGCCAAGTGAGGATCGGTGGGTGCTAACCCACATCGCCGTTCTCTTTTGATTTATTTATTTACGTGGTGGAGAAATTGAATTTTTCGTAAATTTAGCTGTACCGCGTTTCTATGCGATGTCCGTATAATATATAAAAAGTCATTCCAAATGTGGCATAGTTTGACATTAAAAATATCGATTAACGTTCGGCATTGAGAACGATGACGCAAAAAAAATTAAACAACGTTTAAGAAAGAGCTTTTCTGTCCCCCTTTGGCATGTTTGTGGCACGGGAAGTAGATATGCTTGCGATGTCTTTTTCAACCTACTCATTTGTCTATGGTTTGAGTGCAGTGGTAAATCATATGAGGCTATTTATGGCTGAGCGTGAGCGGGTTGTTTTCAGTGCTCGCTGCATTGATGCTTTTCAGCTGTATCGGTTGGCACGCTTCAACAGTGAACCGCAAACGAAGTCTCAAGAACAAAGTCTCCAAGCCTTTAAGTTATAGGAATCGGGCCCATATATTCTAATAATATTTATATGAAATTGGGAAAGATTTTTGTTATCATACTTTAACTTTAAATCTAAAGAAAATTATGTTTTTATTAATTTTTAAGCATTTAACTGCTAGATGTTTAAATCTAAAGTTAAAAAAGGTTTTTAGAAAAAAGCTTAAGGCTAGGAAAATTTCGACGCGGCTAATAGGGCCGTGGTAGCATAATTGTCAGTGCATTCGCCCGGATTGCGAAGGGTGCGGGTTCGAGTCCCGTCCGCTGTCTGGTCCGCGTGGATTTTTTTTTCTAGTAAACTTTTCTTTAAATTTAAAGAAAATTATACTAGAAAAAAATCCACGCAGATCAAGCCCGTCCCATCTGCTGCCGGGTCCGCGTGGAATTTTTTCTAGTATAATTTTCTTTAGTTTTAGACATCTAGCAGTTATTTGCTTTAAAAATAAATAATATACTTCGACTTGTAAAATAAGTGACTCTCTAAGTGTTACCATAAGAGAGGTGCAGTCGACTGAAGCAGTAATATTTTATCTACAGGAATACTACCCTTTAAGTAAATATTACTAGCACTGCTAGATAAATAACAGTCGATTTAGTGGTATTGTGTTTCCGTATAGGGCTCCACGGGGTAAGGGTTGGGTTGGGATTAAGTTAACACGTTGAGAATGTATAAATCAAAAGAAAATTTTACTCGAAAACATTCCACGCGGTGCAGACAACAGTCAATTTTTTAGATGTAAACATCTTACAGTTAATGCTTGCAATAAATAAATTAAACATTGAGAATGGTTACAGTTGCATACTTTTCTGCCGCATTATCGACTTTCATAATTGGACTTCACTCAAACTTGATGTCAAGTGAAGTATGCCACTTCACATTTGCAGCGTGTTTTTTACGAAAAAGAACCCAATAAAGATCTAAGAGAAAAGCTTCTATAAATTGTTGTTTCGCAACAAATTTTGTGCTATGCCTCTGGACGGACGGACGGACTTTAGAATTTCGAAGCTCGCTTCCGCCAACATCGCTCGGACCACAAAATGGATAGTACTGAAGTCAATCTACACACATCAAAAAGAAAAATGTTTGCGATCACTTTGAAAAATAGTTTGCTTTTTGTGTTACAGAAGACTTTTTTTGTAATTTCTTTTTCTGATAAGATTTTAAATTTTAAAATTAGAATTAGAACGTAAAACAATAAAATAATTCAATTGCTTTTCCATATAAAAAGACATGCAATCCAAGCTGACACTCATTTAGAAATCTGACTTAGTCAATATTATCGAATTTAAAATATTTTTTTTAAGGAAAGTTCTGATTTAAAAAATGCCACGAGGATTATCACATGTTTTACGAGCTAGAATTGTAACTTTGAGGGAAGAA